GCCCAAGGGGGTGGGGAGATAGATGAAGTCTAGGCAGCGGCCTCATTGATAATGTGGAGCTGTCCATCTTCCCAGACTTCCCTATGGCTAGGAGCAAGCAGTGCTACAGAGCACCCAGGCTGTGTGACACCTCTTACAGTGACCTACATTCATTGCTTCTAATTACATCTGGCATTAGCTGTTGGACTTTGTACCCATCGTAGTGATGTAGCAGGAAGGGGGACACGGTGCAGCGGGCAGGGTCGGGGAAAGGTCTACGAAGACGGGCGAAATGACCCCTCAGATGCTGGCTCTCAGATTGCACTGCCCATTCTACAGTACCTAAGCGGTGGATTAATGGGAACCTATGCTTGAGAACAGCCTGGACAGTAGAAGTCAGATCCTGGGATGGGAGAACACACCCAAACGAAGCCGCCTGGAGGTACCTAGCAAGTGTCAGCAATCACACCCTACTGAAGTGCTCCTCTGGTAACTTTCACAGAAACACTCTGTACTTCCTACTGGGGTGATCTCTAGAGCAAATTCTCAAGCCTTGTCACCAGGGGACATCCATGCAGGTGGGCAGATGTGATGGGAGCCTCATCAGCAATTCTGAATCCTACCAGACTCAGAACAGACAGAAGTCATGGCAGGAAAGATCAGGGAAGAAGCATCCCTTTTGCTCCTGGCTTTTGTTTAGTCTTGACTTAGTTATCTGTCCTGGTTTATGGTGTGTTGTTGTAAAACAGGTGATTCCAGAGGACATAGATTTAGCGGTATCCTGCATTCTTGAAATGACAGTGTTAGGGCAGGTTCTAGGACTTAAGCATTTCCATAAAGAAGGGCAATCAGCACATAAGGACCGTACGGAGCTTACAGGGCCAAATGACAACAATATAATGTTGCATTTCATCACACTAGCATGAAAATCCCTAAGGATTGCTGTGTGTGTGTGTGTGTGTGTGTGTGTGTGTGTGTGTGTGTGTGTGTGTGTGTATGTGTATGTGTGTGTGTGAGAGAGAGAGAGAGAGATACAGAGAGATACAGAGAGATACAGAGAGATACAGAATGCACTTCCAATGACTCCTGAATAGAACACACCAGAGCACTCTCGCTCTGAGGCTGAGATGCAGAAATGGGAAAAGAGACACATCTGTCATGTCTTGCAAACTGAACAGAGGACATCTGCAGCTACCGCCACCCTCTCACGCCAGCACAATGGGAAGAACGGATGTAAAAATAGAAGTGATATATTCAACTATTAACGAGGCAAAACTGAATATAGCAGCGTGCAGCGGCGCTGACGTAGAGGCTGCCTCGAGTGGACAGCATGCCGACCAATAACCACTCTCCTCCACCCGTGTCATGCCTGATGTCTGTGAAAGGATGAGGGGACAAGGGAGAGACCTGGGAACCAACGGCAGCCAGTCATGTTCTGTTGGCAGGAAGCGAAGGGGCTGTTGGCTCAGGGGAGAATCTCACCCCAGGAATCCCTCACCCCACCAGGGGAGTTATTTCATCTTCTTAAACTGGCCAAATAGTTGTGCGTGGTTCAGGCAAGAATACTGATGGTGAGGGTGCTGGATGAGAAGAAAGCACAGCATAGAAAAGATGAGGGAGTAGCTAGGGGGGTGGCTGAGTCTGTAAAGCCCTTGCCAGGCACACAGTGTGCATCAATATTCCTTTTAGTGTTCATCTATTCCCAGTTGTATGGATAGACTACAACTGTCCACTTATCTGCTGGTGAACTCTGGGCATTTCCAAGTTTGGGCTGCCTGGGAAGAATACTACCTGGAATATCTGCATACATCTATTTTCATTTCTCTTGGGTAGCTACCTAGAAGTAGCATTGCTGGTCACTTGTGGACCCTATAGTTAACTTTTTGATGTACTTCCAGACCATTTTCCAAAGTGAATGTTTTATCTTAAGCTTGAGCCATCAATGTACAAGAGTTCTAGTTTCTCCAATCTAGACCACACGCATTACTGTTAGGGTTTGGTTATGGATATTCTAGTGGATTTAAAGTAGTCTCTGTGTTATTTTGAGATATCTATTTATATTATGTATGAGGTTTTTTTTGCCTGCATGTATATATGTATGTGTATCATGCTTGTGTCTGGGTGCCCACGGAGGCCAGAAGAGGATATCAGATTCCCTGGAACTGGAGTTATAGATGGTTGTGAGCCTCTATTTGGATGCTGGGAACAGAACCTGGATCCCTCCAGCCCTGTTTTTTTTTTTTTTTTTTAAATCAAAGTCATGCATCTATAGTCTAACAACATGAAGCTTATGTGTCTATGCACCATTCCTCTCTGCTCCATTTCTATAAGGGAAATACTTTAAATTATTTCAGTTTACTCCCATCACTTATCTTGAATTTCTGGTAACATATTTGTGTGTCATTTTAAAATCCGTTTCAGATAGTATTTCCTAACTTCCAAATATGGAAGATGAACATTTGGTATATGTGTACACAAATACACACCTACTTTATCTTTTCATTTTTATAATACAATCATAATCTCCATTCATTGTTAAATCAGTCATTTTGGACCTTTTACATGTAAGGCAAGCTACATCCATAGTCCACTTCCGCAGTGTTTTATTCACTAATTACTAATTCATCTTCAAATTCTGCAAGGAAATGAAAAAAAATCTGGCTATATTCACACATCCTAGGTATGTTACAATGTCTCTCTGTCTCATCGTCGTCAGTCTCTGTCTCTCAGAGAGTCTAGCTATATAGGCCATGCTGGTCTCTAACTCATAGTCTTCTTCCTAATATATTATTCCTAATATATTGGGATATAATTTCTTTTTAAAAAATTCTTTCTTTGGTATGTCATCAGAATCAAATTGGTATTTGTTGAAGGAATGAAAGAAAATATCTAGACCTCAACTGAAAATATCAGAGTCAAAGATCCGGAGCCAGAAGGAAGCCTGTGGTCACTTCTCCCTGTAGTGCCTTTCCCAGTCCATACCATTAACAGAGCAGCTCCATTTGGACGTGAGGTGTTCAAGGCTCAGGAGTTTTCTGACCTGCTTCAGTCATGGCCAACTGCTGAGGAGACAGGCGGGGCCTCCTGTCTCTTGAGCTGTAGAGCCTCCCCCTGCCCAGTTGATAAGGTGACTTCTACAGAGAAGAGGCCTTTTATACTGACAGGGACATGAAGTTGGAATCTTTATTCTTCAAACTATTCAGTTTTCTGAAACCCAAAACTTAACGGTAAGTGCTAAGACTCCAAATAAAAGACAAAGTATCACCAAAATGTGAAAACTCTCAGTGCACATTGCTGTGTTAATATTGTCAAGGTTATGATTGGCAGGACCTAAGGAATCCAGTCTTCCAAACTCAAGTGATTGAGTCATTACTACTCATTTGAATCTCCCAACAGAGTGCCACCCCAAGTAGTGCCCTTGTGTGGTCCTGAGGGTGAGTTCCCTTTGTTTAACCAGTGCCTCTATCCTGTTCTCTGAGGTGAGCTCTTTGTCCTTTAAACAATTTTTATTTCCCTAGCTTGGTAATCATGAACCGTTTTTCCCACTTGTCACTTTCTCATGTCACATGATAGCTGTGACTTGTCTATTTCATGCACTTTCCGGAACACAGTGCCTTCTCGCAAAAGCACCTGGGTGGGACACACAAGCCCACTTTCTGTTACTTTCTAGAAGGTAAAGTGAGGACGACAACACACCTGCTTCCTGTCATTTTTGCAAGGATTTCATGAGCTACATGCAGGAGACACAGAACCCTGCAGTGTTAGTTGTTACCATCTGTTGGCTAAAAGAAGGATCTCTGTACTTGCACACCCATGTTTCTTGCTGCAGTATTCAAGGTAGCCAGGTACAGAACAGATACTAGATGGAGGAAATGTGGTGTGTGCACACAATGGAACATTATAGTGTCAGAAAGAAGGATGAAGTCCTGACAGCTGCAGGAAAATGGATAGAACTGGAGATCACGATGTTAAGCAAAATAAGCCAGACTCCGAAAGACAAGAGCTATGTTTTCTCTTAAATGCAGAACCCAACTTTAAAAGTGTGTGTGTGTGTGTGTGTGTGTGTGTAAGTGTAAGTGTAACTAGAAAGCAGACAATGAGAAGGAGGAAGAGATGCTCAGGGAGGTGGGAAGTCGAGCGATAGAACATGTGCAATAAGATAGCAAAAGGAAGGGGAGGAACTGTGGAGAGGAAGAAGGGAGTGTGTGTGGGGGGAGTTCCTGAGGACCAAGTGTAATGCGACTGTGGGACACACGTGTGTGAAGATGCTGTAATGAAACCTGTTACTCTGTATACTGCAGACTAAACAAGAGAAAACAAAGCAAAGAATGTCAACTGGTGAGCCCTGTTTACCAGGGAGCCTTGTTAATGGGTGAGCCCTGTTAATGGGCGAGCCTGTTCACTGGTGAGCCCTGTTCACCAACGGGTGAGCCCTGTTCACCAGGGAGCCTTGTTCACTGGTGAGCCCTGTTAATGGGCGAGCCTGTTCACTGGTGAGCCCTGTTCACCAACGGGTGAGCCCTGTTCACCAGGGAGCCTTGTTCACCAGTGAGCCCTGTTCACCGGTGAGCCCTGTTCACCAGTGAGCCCTGTTCACCAGGGAGCCCTGTTCACCGGTGAGCCTTGTCATTCCCGCCACCAGAGGCCTGTAAGACACGGCTGTGTTTACTGCTGCCGTTTTTAGCTCCAGCTTTCTTCCTCACATGCCCCTAGCATCCGCAGCATGGCCACACCTAACGGGTGGTCAGCAAATATTTATTACTGAATGAATGTATATAGGAAATACAGCGGTATTTTATGGATAGGGAAACTGAGGCTCAGAGAGGGTTGGTGACATGAAGTCTCCCGGGGACTTAGAGGGGACTAAGAGATGGTTCTCCTGCCTGGCTGTCTTCTCTCACACCACTCCTAGGTCTTACCTCGCCATCTCAATCTTCAGACAGGACATCTTCGTTATTAGATGATTTTCAAGTGCTAAAAATGATCTAGAGTAAAAAGGATTCTTAAAGTTTGAAACCTACCGTGGTATCCACGGCCTTGACTGCTTCTGTGGGGACGTGCTTTGGTACAGGTTCCGCCTGTGACAGTGTCACACATCCCGAAGCCCCTAAGGTGATGACCACGACCTGGCAGCCCCGTTCTAGGAGAACCAATGCAGCCTTCCCAGCCTCGGTTGGGCTGTTCACCACGAGGCCTGTTAAAATCTCAGCCTGGAATCCACGAGGAAAGAAACCGTGGTGAGAATAAAGCCATGGAGATCCACCGTGGATCTGTCCTTTTAGAAATGTGACTCCCCCGTTTTTCATAACGATCAAGGCAATGGGAACCCCGAAGGATACTGGTGCAGAAACATAAAAGAGGGACTAAAGCAAACCGGCGGTAGTATCACGCACCTTTAATCCCAGGAGATGCAGAGGCAGGCAGATCACTGCGAGTTCGAGGCCAGCGCTACATAGTGAGACCCTGTCTCAAAAAAAAAAAAAAGAAAAAAGAAAAGAAACAAAAATAATGAAAACAAAAATTAGTTATTTAAGATATTCTTGGAATGGGCACGGTGTGGTTTCATGCTTATCTCTGTACTTGAGAGGCCAAGATAGGAGGATATTAATGGCCACAGCACATTCAAGCCAGCCTATAGTACAAAGTAACAGATGATAACAAACAAAATCCACATGAAAACAAAAACCCCAAACCAAACACAACATTTCTGGGGGTTGGAGAGATGGCTCAGTGGTTAAGTGTACTTGTGCTGGCCAAGGTCGGAGGTTTAGTTCCCAGCATCCTCATGGTGGCCTGCAATCCCCTGTAACTCCAGTTCCAGAGGATCCAACCCCCTTATCTGACCTTCACAGGCACCAGAAGGTCTTTACATCTATGCAGGTAAAACACCTAAAAAACCTCAGGATGCCATTCCCAGTGACTCCACGGATGCCGCATCTGTAAACATGGCACCTCAGGATGCCATTCCCCAGGCCTCTTCTGGCCTGGTGTCTTTCTCGTGATGCTGCAGACTACTTGATTTTGTCTGTCTGCCTCTGCTAGAGAAACTGGAAGCAGAAGAGCCCTCTGCTTCTCACTGTCTCTATGACCTTCCTTAAATCACATACTACAATAAATGAGGAGGACCTGGGCAGGATCAGCGTTTCTCCTGGAACAGAAAAGCATCTTGGGCTGAAACAGGGCTGAGAGGCACTCCTCTGGCATCTCCTCCTCTGCTAGTGACAGAGGTAGTTAAAATAGCACTGGAGGAATTATATGGTACTTTTTGACTCAGTGTGTATAACTGGATTCTCTTTTCCATGTTATAGCTTAACCATACCTACACAAGACGGCACGGATGCCCTGCTTGTAGTTGTTGTGAATACGCCCCAATTAAACCCATTTGTTATATGAAAGCCAAAGCATGCAACTCGACTACCGAGATGCTCAGGGTGTAAAGGCACCTGCCACTGAGCCCCATGACCTGAGTTCAGTTCCCAGGACTCACCTGGTAGAAGGAGAATATTGACTCCCCTGAAACTTCTGCACATGTCGTGGCATATGAGCATGCATGCACACACACATAGGATGTATAAAAATCTTTTAAAGTATATAACCAAATTATGTCTTTTCTGTATTACAGGAATCATATGGTATATACTCCTAAGAATGAGACTACATTTCACCTTTATATGCTCTGAGCATGCCCAAATTAATCCTTTTGTGTATAAAAACCATCCCTCAAGTGTGTGCTCATTCTGAGCATCTGTGATCCCAACAGCAAAGGTTTCCTGAACTTGGCTATCTATCTTCTCTTCCTGTCTTCTGTATGTTCCTTTTCAGTCTGGATTGGTTGTACTCTGAGACCATCTTTCAATCTGTATTTATGTATTTACTTAGTTTTTACATGTATGTGTGTGTGCGCCTGAGTGTGAGTTTGTGTATCATGTGTGTGCAGGAGCCTGAGAAGGCCTGATAAAAGTATTGAATCCCCTGGATCTTGAGTTAAAGATGGTTGTGAGCTAACATGTGGGTGCTGAGAACAGAACCTGAGGCCATTATCTTTTTAAAAATTATTTATTTTTATTTTATGTGCATTGATGTTTTGCATATATGTGTGAGGGTGTCAGATCCCCTGGAGATAGAGATATAGGCAGTTGTGAGCTGCCATGTGGGTGCTGGGAATTGAACCCAGGTCCTCTGGAAGAGCAGCCAGTGCTCTTAACTGATGAGCCATCTCTTCAACTCCAAGGCCATTATCTTAAAGAACAAGTTCTGTATTAATCTGTTTTCCCAGGACCAGTTCTGTCTGCTAAATTCACTGATCTATTTTTAGAGACACTCACTGATATCTTCCAAAAAAAAAAAAACAAACTTTGAAATTGGGGCTGGAGAGATGGCTCAGTGGTAAAGAGCACTGGCTGCTCTTCCAGAGGTCCTGAGTTCAATTCCCAGCAACCACATGGTGGCTCACAACCATCTATAGTGGGATCTGATGCCCTCTTCTGACATAAAGTTGTACATGCAGAAAGAGTACTCATATATATATAAAATACATAAATCTTAAAAAATGTATTAAAAAAACAACTTTGAAATCTCTGTTAACAACCCCTTCACCCCGTGTGTGTGTGTGTGTGTGTGTGTGTGTGTGTGTGTGTGTGTGTGTGTGTGTGTGTGTATGTGTGTATGTGTGTATGTGTATGTGTGTGTTCATACCTGTGTAAGGCACGTGTAAGTATTCTCACCAACAGCTCCTATTATGCTATAGGCAACACTAGCATCAACTATCACACATATGAATGAAGAATCTCTCAGCCTTGGACATTTTCGACTCTTGCCAGAGGCACTACAGAGCAAGGCCAAGCCATGCTGGGCCCTATCTGAATTCCCCATGCATGGGAACTGGGGATGGCAGTGATTCCTGTTGCTTTGGGGGAGTTTATTATAAAGCAATAGGTAAGAATACAGACAGGGACAGGGTACAATAAGACAGATGCTGTGTCTTAATGAAGTCTGTAACTTAATGGAGAAGATACATCAGCTGAGTCAACAATCTGGGCTGTGAAAACTGAAGAATAAACACAGTGTCTTTTAAGCATCTACCAGGGAAATCTAAGCCAGTTTGGTGGTTGAGAGTAATGTAACCTCTTATTGTGAAATGGTCACCATCTCCCACAATCCCTTTCTCCTAGCCCAATGCCTTGCCATGGTGGTTACTCAGAAATGTTGCATAACCTACTGTGGTTTGTTAGAGTTAGTTTCCATGTAGCAGCCTTCTTTGTCCTGTGTATCCTGACAGATGACATTTTCAGGAGAGCAGGTTAAGAGCACCTAGACCTTCATTTAGCTTTAGAGCCAAAGGACCCTTTATCTCTCATCAATCCCTCTCTCTCTGTGCATGGTACATTTGCCAAAATGCATAAGAGGTTCTGCATCTCAACAATGAGAAAGAATTCTAGTCTAAGGCGGTCTTTCTATAAAAACTGTGATTGGTTGAGATCTCTTCCCTAGTAGTCTTATAAAAGAGTAGATTATATCACTACGCCGACAGGTATGTTGTGCGGTTGTGGACATTATGACCCTTGGATGAGACTCTCCCTCCCTTAGACAGCAGCCTCAGTGGGAACCTGTCTCTCCACCACTGTCACACGGTCTGCCCACTAGAAAGTAGCAGCCACTCCGGGAGTCATGTACTAATTACAGCCGTCAGATAAAATACAAAAGCTCGGGGAAATTTGATTGTCAGAAAAACGACAACTAGTTTTGTATGTCTGTTCATTGATTACTTGAGATCCAAATGTAAGGACAGCCTGTATTTTTGTTCGTTCAACTTGGCAACTTTAATATTAATTACTTAATATTAGTTTAATATTAGTCCAGAAAAATGTGGAATAATTAAAATGAAAACAATGTATTAATAGTGTGAGGCTGGGAGGGTGTTAAAATGGGCGGAGCTTTAGTCAGGGTCAGATTAAGGGGTGTGTCTTGAATCTTTTATGGCCGTCCAAGGCTTCATTAATTTCTGACCTCCACACCCCAATGAACTGAGAAATCTCTTTGTACTGAGTTCCCATGTGCTCAGACTGATGCAGTTAGTCCTGCCTCCTTGTTTTTTCTTTCTTTCTTTCTTTCTTTCTTTCTTTCTTTCTTTCTTTCTTTCTTTCTTTCTTTCTTTCTTTCTTTCTTTCTTTCCTTCCTTCCTTCCTTCCTTCCTTCCTTCCTTCCTTCCTTCCTTCCTTCCTTCCTTTCTTTTTCAGGAGAGGGTTTCTCTGTGTAGTTTTGGTGCTTGTCCTGGAACTCACTCTGTAGACCAGGCTGGCCTCGAACTCACAGAGATCCGCCTGGCTCTGCCTCCCGAGTGCTGGGATTAAAGGTGTGCGCCACCACCACCCGGCCCTGCCTCGTTTTATCCAATTGCAGGAAAGCCCTTCCCAGAAGAATCAAACGATTGTCTCTACCTCGCTTTCATTGCAGCAGAACACACTGGAGAGGGTGTAGAACCGGGGGTCCAGGTCAGCAATGGCGGGAGCCGGATTGAACAATGTTTTCACTGCAGAGGAATGGGAAAGGGGCGCGCAATGGGTATCATTGCAAAATATTAATTTAGCCTTTATATTTACCTTTAAGGTTAGAGGTAAAGTAACAGGTTTCAGTATCATGTTTTCAGACCATTTAGACAAGGTGTACGTACAGACACATTAAGTGAGGGAAGTCTGCCATCATTTTTACACTCACCAGATTAAACAACTATTAGCCGACAGATACTGAAATGTTCAAGATCTCAGTCTCCATGACAGTCTAGTATCAATTCCTTCTTATTTCCAGTCCCTCTATTTTTTACTTTCCCATTTCAGCTTCAAGGGCAAGCATCATACTTACAACTAACGTGCTTGTCTAGTTCAGGTGAGGGCAACAAGAGCATCATAAGTCGGCGTGAAAGGGCATGTATGGATGCAGGTGGAAGGTGCATCTGTAGGATAACGGAAGTGCTTGTCTGTGAGCTGCTCCATAAAGTCATTTTTAAGGGAAGAAAAAAGGAAGGGCAGGAAAGAAAGAGCAAAGAATTGGAAATTTTCTTAGTAGTGACAGCAGGTAGGAAACTGAGGGATTTGAATGTATTTTGTGTACCCATGCATGCCTCCACAATAGATTAAAATTACTCAAGCCAACACACACAGACACACACGCACGTGCGCGCACACACACATACACACACACACACACACACACACACACACACACACACACACACACACACACACACACACCCCACCTCCGCTCTTGGCTTCCAGGAGCTATCTGGGAACATGGTAAGATTGAAAAAGGAGGGACATTTCATTCACAGACTAGGTGCTGGCTCAGACTAGACAAGTACAAGAGAAGTGTGGGTGGGGATAGCAGAGCAAGAGAAGGGAGGATGTCACAGCCATTATTTCAGAGTAGAAACGTGAAGCTTAGAGAGATGAGGCCAAATGTCATGCCCATACCCTTGGACACGGTTAGGCTGGGTCCTAACCAAGAGTTCTTTGGCTTTGATTTTTAGGGTTTGATCCTCTTTAAAATAGCAACATATCTAGACCATGGCTTTATCCATAGCAACACGCTTCTCTAACGCATAATATCTTACAACAGTTTTTGGTGTGAAATTCTGCGAATTCTTTTAAAGGCTTTAAAAGTTCCATTTGCAAGAAGCTCCTATTTTTTTTTTTTTTTTTTTTTTTTTTTTTTTTTTTTTTTTTTGGACAGAACAACTAGATTGGCTATTCTTCCTTTATCAAACTGGATCCATCGATCCATGCGGTGACTAATCCCACCTGTCTAGTCTGAAGTTGCGGTTCTTAGAGACTGCTCCACAACAACGGTTACGGTTTGTTCACACAACAGCAGAGGCTGTTCAGAGGTAGGATTTCTAGGCTCCACGTCCAGCCCACCGAATCAGAATCTCTGGGGGTAGGATCAGGGAATCCACACATTCACAAGTTCTCTAGGTGGCTCTCATGGAGCTAGCTTGGCAATGACACATCCCTGTCCTGGGGAGACGCGAATCAGCTCATGGCTGGCAGAGATGGTCCCCACGGCAGCAACCTTGTGAGTGTATCCAACCTGCTTCTGTACCTTCCTAGATCTTACTAAACAGGTTGCTCCATAAGTGGTCTTGGCCAGTACAGGCTAACAGTATTGCCAGGTTTTTGTTATTTTAGACTTTACAATGTCCTCCCACGAAAATTCTGCTTTAAAAAAAATTATTTTTTTGGTGCAGGGCAATTGTGTGGCTTAAATTAGAAAATGCATGTAAAAGCCCCATGTAAACTAAAAGTGTTGTCCAAATATAAAGGATTATTACTGTTATTATACTGTCCTGTGCACACGGCTGACACCCCCGCCTGTCCACCCCTCTTCTGCCTTCTGCCCCAGTGTGGAGCCCACCAACAATCTCTCAGTGGTTTCTCATGTCTTTTAGGGTTTAGGGACACCCATTATACAAGAAGGTCCTCTGTGTAGAGCATTTAAATGTAGTGTGACTTTGGATTTTTTGAATAGCATTGGGATAGTCTGAATGAGAATGGCCCCCATAGGCTCATAGGTTTGAATACTTGGTCCCCAGTCGATGGAACTATTTGGGAAGGATTAAGAGGTGTGACACTGTGGGTAGGTTTTGGAGTTTCAAGAGCTGTCATTCCCAGTTAGCGTTTCTGCCTCGTGCCTGTCTAAAATGTGAGCTCTCAGCTCTTATTCCAGAACTACACCTGCCTGTCTGCTGATATGCTCTTTGCCATGATGGACACAGACTTTAACCCCCTGAAACTGTAAGACCAAAATAAACACTTTCTTTTATAAGTTGCTGTCTTAGTATTCTATTGCTGCGAAGAGACACTATGACCATGGCAACTCTTTTTCTTTTTTTTCCCCTGAGACAGGGTTTCTCTGTGTAGTTTTGGTGCCTGTCCTGGATCTCACTTTGTTGACCAGGCTAGCCTCGAACTCACAGAGATCCACCTGATTCTGCCTCCCGAGTGTTGGGATTAAAGGTGTGTGCCACTACTGGCTTTTTTTTTTGTGTGTGTGTGACCATAGTAACTCTTATAAAGTAAAAGTAAAGCATTTAATTGGAGTTTGCTTACAGCTTCAGAGGTTTAATCCATTGTTATCATGGTGATGAGTATGGTGCCATGCAGGCAGACATGGTGCTGGAGAAGTAAAGAGTTCTTCATCCAGATCTATAGGCAACAGGAAGAGAGAGCTACTGGTCCTGACTTGGGCTTCAGAAACCTCAAAGCCAGCCTTCAGTGATACACTTCCTCCAACAAGGCCACGTCTCCTAACCCTTTTAAATAGTGCCATTCCCTGAAAACTAAGCATTCAAACCTACGACTCTCTGGGGGCCATTCTCATTCAAACCACCACAGTTACTTTGGTCATGATATCTTATCACAGCATCAGAAAGCAATTACTACAAGCACACTGTTCTCTATTTTCCTCAAACATCAAACTGAACACCATCGCTCAGCTAGAGTGATCCTCGAGCCTGCAGTCCTAAGCATTTGAGCACAGGTCCCGCATCAAGCCACCAGTAACCAAGATGCAGAATGAAGCCATTCTCAGAGAAGTTCCTTTTGGTTCCTCCAACGTCCAGGATCTAGCAATTCCTTGTGCATGCTCATCTTACAGAAGGTGACAGGCACACAATTAAGAAATGTGATGCTACTGCTGCTTATGGTACAAAAATAAAGGGGGTTCTACATATCTATCTGAGGAATTGGTTAAAAAAATACTGGAAAAAAAGGAAAAAAGGAAAAAAAAGATAAAAAAAAAGAAAAAAAAGGAAATAAAGGGGAAAAAATACTGGACTGGCTGGTCTAAGTAGATTGGCTGGTCCTCTTTCCTCGGTCCACCTGGTAAATACTCTAAAGCTGCTAAAATGAAGTCATCTATGCTTTGTCAGAGAAATATTCCTATACTTTATAACCGGAAAGAGGGCAGTCTTGCCCTTCCTTCTAAACTAAAACAAAGCATAACTCTGTGTGTATGTGCGTGCAGAGAAGAGGACAGGCCTGCGAGGCTACTCACTAAACTCATGATGATGAGTTGTAAAGAGGCGGAAGAAGTCTGACTGCAGATTCAGTGTTGTTCTTCAGGGGAAGACCCTATTCTTAGAACACTCATCAAATCTTCTACTGATGAAGAAATGACATCCGGTTCAGTAGTGAGGGACGGTGGAAAATGAGGTGGGACACCAATGACATGCCATCAATTGTGTTGGTATTGTGTTCCCCAAAATATTGTGCACTCTAATAAACGTATCTGGGGTCTGAGAACAGAACAGCCACAATATTAAACATAGAGGCCAGAAAATGGTGGCACACACGCCTTCAATCCTAGCATTCCAGAGTCAGAGATCTGCCTGGATCTCTGTGAGTTCAAGGTCACACTGGAAACAGCCAGGTGTGGTAACGAGCCTTTAATCCCAGGAAGTGATGGCAGGAAGCAGAAAGGTATATAAGGCATGAAAACCAGGAACTAGGCCTGGTTAAGCTTTTAAGCTTTTGAGCAACAGTTCAGCTGAGATTCATTCTGGATGAGGACTGAGAGGCTTCCAGTCTGAGGAAACAGGATCAGCTGAGGAATTGGCAAGGTGAGGTGGCTGTGGCTTGTTCTGTTTCTCTGATCTTCCAGCATTCACCCTAATACCTGGCTCAGATTCGTTCTTAATGATAAGACCTTTTAAGATTCCTGCTACAATCAATAAGGTCTCAACAATTGTGGAAACTGAATGATGATGTGACATTATGTGGGTTTACCAGGCTATTCTCTCTGTCATACTACATTTGAAATTTTCTACAATGAGAACAAACGTTAGAGAAAATTACATTGTGTTTTAAGCATCAGTGGCTGGAATGAGGAACTCTATAAATTAATTACCATAAATATTGCATAAAATCAAGCAAATCTTATTTGCCTGTACTTCCCTGGGGGACAGCATTCTTTCCGGCCATCTCTGGTTATGTAAGCGTAGTGTCTAATGTGTGGTTAATAGCGCCTAAGCTTAGGGTAAAAGTGAAAATGCTACAAGGAAATCACTCTTCTTGGCCTCTGCTGTTAAATGAACAGAAACTCTTTACCAGGGTGAAGAAACATGAACTAGTAGACACAGGTAGTTAGAAGCACAAATTAATACCTAAGATGGAAAAGATGATGTCATCCTGGGACCGGGCAAAACCAGAGAACCACTTGGAGCTGCAGAGGGGAGGGCAGGACAGGACAGTAATTATCACTCATTATGGAGGGAGATGCACTGAACTCCCGCTTATCCTAACCACACACCAATGGCTGACACAGTGATGTTGACCAGGAGGAGGCGGAGCCGTAGGGAAGCAGCTGGTGGGCTGGGAAATGGGGCAGAAGGTCTGAAGGCTTCCACGGAAGAGAGGATGGCCAGTTAAGAATGCCCTGGGAACTAGCTCAGAGGAACAGGGGACTGAAGTCACCCCTAAGCATAGGAAGTGTGAGGAGAGTGGTAGACCCCAACACTGGCTTGGCCGTCTCCCCACTGGAGGCTCTTTTTTGGGGACTTGAGCCATAAAATAGCTCCAAGTTTGGCCCACATGTGGGGCAATGTTATTGCAAAAGTCTACACGGCCAGCCAAGAGGTTCGGTTTGCCAAATGGAAAAGGGCTAAAGTGGCATTAAAAGGCACTTTGTATCATACCTAGGATTTAATCTTGGCGATCTTACAATCTCAATTATCTATAATTGTCCCTGTAATGTTCCATTGCTTTGAAATGAATATAAAGACCAGACCCAACACGAACAGTCTCACCACCGGCAGCTCCGGCATCGGCTCTCCAGCAGGTCTACCTAACTGCACTGCGAGCCAGGGGAACAGATTCTGTTGTTTCTGTGTTGTGACACTGTGAGGGCTGTGTCTAAGAGCAATTCTTTCATTTGGGTAAAACCAGGGAGAGTTCTGAGACAGTGTGTTCAAGATGGGACCTTCCCTCTGCGTTATAACTGGAGATCATCGGCTTATATCATGTGTAGGATTCAAATTTGCTACTTGTAAGGGGTGGAAAGGAGGTGTGGTAACTCGGATGACGAAGAAGCACACCATTGCCTCAGGGCAACAGGTCACTAGTGTTGCCTGCTGGGCTCTGTGATCAGTCCATGCTTCCATCAGTGATGGTGAGAGTTCTCAGCCCATGTCTGAACAGCAGAGACATGGCGAACTGAAGGAATCAGCTGACTTTCTTCACTGAGGTCCCCTGTTTGCTAAGTGACTCATTCAGAAGTCAATACCATTCTTCATGAACATTGATCTAGTGCTCTCTCTTCATTCTTACATTCTTGCCTCACTGGGACTGAAGATGCTCTAACTCCCCTGGCCACCCCACACCCCCAGATCCTCTCTCTCTCTCTTACTCCATCCCACCCCCACCTCACAGTGCAGAATCTAAGCTGCATCAGGCTGGTATCTACCAAATAAGGCCAGCTGACTCTCTAGAGAAAGCTGCTGCCTGGAGGAGTTCTAGGCAGAGGTGAGCGGGTGTGCATCCCCACTGCTAAGATGCTCTAGGATGCCTTTGCTTCCTGAGCAGCAAAATCACTGAGTCCACATGCTGGCTGCTATTACAGTGTGTGGACTTTACTGCTCTGGAGATGCTCTTCTCGAGGGCTGAGTTCCTCAACATCAGGACCACGTGGCAGTTTTTAAAGTGTGGTCTGGAGGACAGTAGGTTTTTGTTGTGGAGCCTGAAATCCTGTTGTCCATTCTCATTAGAAGTGGGAGGTTGGCTGGGCGGTGGTGGCACATGCCTTTAATCCCAGCACTCAGGAGGCAGAGGCAGGTGGATCTCTGTGAGTTCGAGGCCAGCCTGGGCTACCAAATGAGTTCCAGGAAAGGTGCAAAGCTACACAGAGAAACCCTGTCTCGAAAAACCAAAAAAAAAAAAAAAAAAAAGAAGTGGGAGGTGACTGAGCTAAGTATTTAACCCCCCCAACTCTCAGCTTCTTTGTTCTCAATCTGAGAGAACTATGTAACTGAAGATAACGAACTTTTGATCCTCCTGCCTCAGTCTCCCAAGTGTTTAGGATTCCAAGCATGCACCACCACGCCCAGCTTGCAGGGTTTCCCACGATCAACTGTATTAAAAAGAACTGTGTAAGTTATAAAGCTGCAAACTACATATAAGCACAAGCTATTAGCACTTCCAGTCTTATTTGAGTAGCTGCCTTTATCGTGGTGTGGCTCTCCACAGATTCAGTTACCCATGGTCAATGTCAACGAGCCAAAAAATATTCAGTGGAAAACTCTCAGACATCACAGTCATCAGTTATACATTTCCCAGCATCCTGAGCCTTGCAGTCATGCCATCCTGACCCACCTCCTGACCCACCTCCTGAGATGTCAATCCTCCTACCACCCTGTACATACAGTGTGCTATTGGACTGTTCAGGGATCGAAGTGCTTATGTTCAAGGAACCCTTATTTTATTTAACAGTGGCTCCAGAGTAGCGAGGCTGGAATTCAGGCATGCCAACATAGAGCTATATACAGTGCTTTCTTCTGGTGAAAAAGTCAAAGTTCTTGACTTAATGAGGCAAGAAAAGGCTGTATGCCAAGGTTGCTAGGATCTGTGTTAAGAACAAATATACCCATAAAACTGGGAGGAAGGAAGATAGAATAACAGTAGCTTCACATTGTATTTTAAGACGCAGAAGTTATGACCATACTGTATGATGAGAGCTCATTAAGAGTAACATTAAAGTAGTTCATCACCGTAACAGGCATCCACAGGGGTTCTGGACTGTACGTTCTCCAGATAAGATGGGACTGCTATGTAGGAAAAGATCATGCAGGATTAATGCTGAGGCACACTGGATCTTTGTAAGAACAGGAAGTAGGAAACCAGGCATGGTGGTGAACACCTGTAACCCCTGCCATTGGAAGACAGAGGCAGGAAGATCAGCAATTCAAGGCCAACATAAGACCTTGTTTCAAAACATACAAACAAGCCGGGGCGGTGGTAGCGCACGCCTTTAATCCCAGCACTCAGGAGGCAGAGCCAGGCAGATATCTGTGAGTTCAAGGCCAGCCTGGTCTACAGAGCGAGATCCAGGACAGACACCAAAACACCACAGAGAAACCCTGTCTTGAAAAAAAACAAAACAAAAAACAAAAAAAAAAAAACCCCAAACAAAAAAACCATACAAACAAAAAGTTAAAGTAAGCTATGTGGCAGTTGCTTACCACCACCCACCCCTGTACTTGATTGCCACAAGACCCACAGCTTCTGAAAGGGAAGAGCTGGGTGGTAGGCGACAGAGGAAACATTTCTGGACCCCACCCAGATGACGGCTTGAGGTCAGGCTGCCTGCGCATCAGGGGGACTAGCTTTCCTTGTGGAAGGTTCGTGTCTCACCTGTGCTGGCTGTGCCTTCCTGTCCTCCACAGGCTGGGCAGGCTGCAGGGAACTAGAGGAGGCCAGAGGAAAGAGTGGTCTCTGAGAAGCAAGGATAGTAGGAAAGAGAACAGCATAAGGATACTCTGTACCAAGACAGGAGAGCAGAGCGCACACAGTATTCACTCTACCTACTTAGAAAGAGTAGAAGGCACAGAATTGGGTTTTTGGTTTTTGAGATAGGGTCTCAGGTTAGCCCAGGCTGATCTTGAATTTGCTAAGTAGTTGAGGTTGACCTGAACTTTAAAAAATATTTTAAGGGGTTGGGGATTTAGCTCAGTGGTAGAGCGCTTGCCTAGCAAGTGCAAGGCCCTGGGTTTGGTCCTCAGCTCTGAAATTTTTTTTTTTAAATCACATTTATTCATTTATTGTGTGCACTCATGTGCGCACGCGCACATTCCTGCAACAGAGTACACGTGGCGGTCAGAGGACAACTGTGGGGTATATATAGTTCTTTCCTTCTGCTGTGTGAGTCCTGGAGATGGAACTCGGGTTGTAAGGCCCGGTCCTAAGTGAGCCGTCTCACTGACCTGCCCGGGAACTCCGGATCCTCCTGTGCCCACCTCCTGAGTTCTGGGAGGACGGGTGTGCACATCACACTTGGGGAGCCAAGAGCGATGTGAGCATGCTAGCAAGCAGCCTACCAGCTTGGCTACCTCCATCTCCCGAGACTGCTCGCCACGAGCATTGGACTCATCTGTGACACTTTGAGAAAATGGAACCAAATGCATTTTGGCTCTGAATTCTTTCTGACAGCTTTGAGTCCATTAAAAATACAGTAAATGTCAGTGAGAATTTGCCACGGTATATTGTTTTGCCAAGAGGAAAATTTGTTAAATCAGTATAAACACTGTAAAATTCTCCACAAAAATCATTCCAGAGATTTAGTTTCCGTTAAAGAAGAAACGGGATTGATTGATTTATTGTGGGGAAGGGTGTGTACACATGCCATGGTGTACAGGTAGAGGTCAGATGAGAGCTTGCAGGAGGAGCTGGCTTTTCCTTCCATCCTGTAGTTCCCAGGTATTAATCTCATGTTGTCAGGCTTAGCGGCAAGTATCTATACCCATTAAGCCATCTTGCCAGTCCTCAGTAACTTATTTTCCACTTATTGTCATATAGAACATGAAATGCTTTAGGAGAAACCATGTACATAAAGCACACATACACACATATATGCCATACACATATACTCTGTTCCCTATGGCCAAGTCACCCCGAAGGTGTCTGATATGGTCTGTATATACTATATCCTCTGTATATACTATACTACTGTTTTCATCTTCTTTATGTCACATCTTGCTGGGAAGTTTTACTAGGGAAAGTCACTGTAGTTCTCTATTTTATTCTTACTATAAATCACATAACTATTGCCACCATAACAAACAGAGGCCATTATCGTAACAGCGGCTACTTTCTGTCTTGAGCGAATGGTGATACATCAAGGTATTATCCTATTATTTTTGAGACAGGGTCTGGCTCAGGCTGGCTTTAACTCCCCATGTAGCCCAGGCTGACCTCAACCACATGGTCTTCCTGCTTCTACCTCTCGAGTGCTAGGATTCCAGGTGTGCAACACCACACTAAACTATTCCAATTCTAATTTAGAGAGAAAAGTGGATAGGAGAGAAGAAAATTGGGACTTACTTATGAGTTTGGCGTCATGCTTGGCATCATGCCTTATTTCATTCTAGTCATAGAAGAAGTCTACAGGACACATTCCTATCTGTATTTTACAGACAGGTTCAGAAAAATTAGCTGATTTTGCTAAGACATCAAACTAACAAGAGGTAGAAATGGGATGCTTTCTCTCCTAGGCAATGGAGGAAAAAGAAGAAACTACCTGAGTTAAAAAGATATGTTCTCCTCACATTATTTGTTGGGAGGTCAAGAGAGGGAGAAGAGAGAAACCCAGGCTTGCTAACTCCTGAGGCGGGCCTCGTCATACAGCGCTGAGTAATCGGGTCAGCTCGAACATTTTCAAAGTTGAAGAAAAACAAAAGAGCCAGATAATAGACACCACAACATAGCACCCGTTACATACAAATAATCTCTTGTATATCGAAAAGATGATAGAATTTTAGAAAAAGGAGAAAGAACGAATCTTTGCTTTTGTGGCTTTTTTCTTTCTTTTTTTTTTTTTTTTTTTTTTTTTTTTTTTTTTTTTTTTTTGAGACAGGGTCTCAATCTGTAGCCCTGACTGTCCTGGAACTCACTCTGTAGACCAGGCTGGTCTCGTACTCACAGAGATCCACCTGCCTCTCCCCCCCCCCCCCCCCCCGCCCCCCCCCCCCCCCCCCCCCCCCCCCGAGTGCTGGGACTAAGGGTGTGCACCACCACTGTCCAGCTAAGAATGAATCTTTGACTCCTGGAGTTGAGCATCAGAATGCACTGGACGGTGACAGGTGATCGCAGGCAGTGGGCGACATCTTTGCACTTTGCCTGTAGTTATCTGCTGCAGTCTTCAGGGGCTCCAGTTACTCCTTAGGTCGTTTCTGCTAACTAGACTCCAGATTTTATATTTAGGGATATCGGATATGCTACTCATGTTGTTTTTATGCTATTTGTGAGTTTTTTTTTCCTAATATTATCAAGAACTACAAGCCGGTGAATCTCACAGATGGAGGAACGAATATTTTACTACAAAGTAATGCTTTCCTCATCTTGAAAGGTTAACTTGAATTAAGACAGTGATAAAAGCTCTCAGAAAGAGTGACAGATCTGTAAGATTACCTCCACTGTTGCGGGCCATTGTCAGAGCTTCTAGAGAAGTCGCTGGGCTTATTTCGAGTTGGCAGATCAGCACTTTGGCTCTGCTAATAACACTGGCTGCCTTCTTCAAGTCTTCAGTATTCAAAAGCAGATTTGCTCCAGCCACTATGACGATGATATTCTGGCCTATAAAGAAATTCTACATATTCATACCAAGCCAAGCCAAGCCAAGCGGTGATATGCTGCACCGTAGAGCAGTCCTTTGAAGGCATTATATGGAATGTGTTAGAAGAATTAATCTTAACATTTCCAGGACATTCGGGATTTAGTTATTGTGTTCCAAATGTATTTTTTGGCAATATTTCCGTGAGATTCATGATATTCGGATCATTTTTTTTTTTAAAGGAGATAGGATCTTGCTACGTTTCCCAGGCTGGCCTTGAACTCCTCCTGCTTCACCTTCCCGAGTAGGTGGGACTGTGGGTACATACCACACTATGCCTGACTTACTATGAGAACTTAATTATTTTACATGTATTTATTTTGTGAATGTGTGTGCATGCATGTGGATGTGGATGCATGTATACCATTGGTATGCATGTGGAGGTCATAGGATTCAGCTCTTTCCTCCTACCATGTGAGTTTCAGGAACGGAACTCATGTCTCCAGGGATCTGCCTGGTGAGCCATCTCTCTGGCCCAATGATCACTTTGAACAAAATCTTAAGCTCATTTTCCTTATATTCTTATATACAAAGAATAATAGTTGAGAAATGATACATAACCTACTTTTACAGTTTCTTTTATGTGAAATGACTAATACGTGCATATGGTAAAGATTGTGAATTCTACATGACGGGTATTATATAGATGAATATAGGCAGGAATAGCCCTGCGGAATGCTCAAAACAAATGCTCTGCTATATATGAGAAGTTCATGTGTGTGCCATGTTCTTCCCCAAATTGACTGTTACTCCAAACACATTTTTTTTATATCTAAAAGACAGAAAATATATGAGATACATAATCTCTAACTTTATTTGGCCTGTACTATACAGATCAAACAAAGAAACACAACCAAGGATCTGATACACTCTCAGCACCTGAACCCACTCTCTATAATCCTTATATATACCCACACAGGAGGGGGTGGTGATGTTCCTTATCTGCAGAGGAATGGTGTGTGTGTGTGTGTGTGTGTGTGTGTGTGTGTGTGTGTGTGTGTGTGTGTGTGTGTGTGAGAAAAAACTTAGATGTTGTTCTTCACCAGCTACCTTTTAAAAAAAATCTTTTCTTTTGAGACAAGGTCTTTTACTGGCCTGGAGTTTGTCAAGTAGACTGAGGCAGTTAGCCAGTGACCCCCAGGCATCTTCCTGCTTCTGCTACCCCAGAGCTGGGATTGCAAGCATGTGCCCTCACGCCCAGCTTTTTTTTTTAAATTCTTCTTCTTCAATATGGGTTCTGGGAATTGAACTCAGGTCTTCCAAAGTCCTGTGGTGACTGAACTCTCTCTCTAGCACCTGGAAAAGGAACTCTGAAGAGGTGTGCTGTCCAGCATTAGATTCATAGTAGTACATGTGGTACCGACACTTGAAATATTGCTAGTCTGAACTGAGGTGCATGAACTTTAAGTAGAAAATACACAGTCAGTTTCAAATTTAGTGCAAAGAACAGGAAGTAACATATCTCACTATTTGTAAATGTTTATCTATCTATCTGTCTATCATCTGTCTATCTATCTGTCTATCTGTCTGTCTATCTATCTATCTATCTATCTATCTATCTATCTATCTATCCATCCATCCATCTATCAGTGTGTGTTTGGGTATGTGTGTACTACAGCACACATGTGGAGGTCAGGACAACTTGTGGGAGTTCCCTTTCTCCTTCTACCACGTGGGTCTGGGGATCCAATTCCTGTCGGCAGACTCGGCAGCAGGCATCTTTACCTGCTGAGCCATCTCTCTGGCCCCACTCATTTTGTAAAAACACACTGAAAAGTTTTCATTTTCAAATAAACTTAACTACACGTTGAAACGATAATATTTTGGATATATTAGGTTAACATATATTGTCAATATTAAATTTACCTATTTCCATTTTTCTTTTAAAAACATGGTTCCTGGACAATTTAAAAACTGCACGTGGCTTGCATTTTATTTCTGTTGGACAGCACAGCTCTAAAGGAATGAGTTGCAGCAGGCACTTTTCAGTGCTTCAGGCTGCTTGTGCAGATCGTGTATAGACACGACCTAAAATTACCTCTCCACACAGCACAAATCCTAGCCTCTCGTCTTACCACATGTGTGTTTATTGGCCATGAGGAAAACTTAATCAAGTGGGGATGGTTCTGCACAAACTCAACCTCAGTCCTGGAAAAAATGCAAAGAGGCCACTTGCTGAAAGACTCCATCTCTCCTTCCTTCCCCTAGCGATGACCTCATCCTCCCTGCTGGAGTCGACTGTAGCATAACGTAATATGCGTTTCTAGACGGGCTTTCGTGGCTGACCAACAAGACTGAGAGTGAAACTGTCCACAGACAGAGACACGTGACTAGCTCAATCATGCCTTACCTTTAACTTGCCAAAATAATACTCATCACTTTGTCTGGCGGCACTCCTGCCCCTTCATGTGAAGGAGCTGATGGTTGCATTTCTCTGTATTTATTATTATTTTTAGACAGTCTCATGCTGCAGCCTAGGCTGGCCTCAAGCTTCCTGTAATCCTCCAGTGTGAGCCTCTGAGCGCTGGGCTAACACTTGTGCTGCCATGACCTATTACCTTACTATCAACCAGGCTTACCAGGATAGGCATTCAATATAGAATGTCAACTTTTACGTTGAAAATGAAGCTTTGGGTTCACAGGAAAGGAAGAAAGAAAAACTGAAGTCATTCCTAGAACACAACACAAGGTTGAAGATCAGAAATGACCTGCTTTTGCCAAAAATCATTATGGATGGCAGAGCTTCATGTAATAAATGCACTTTCTGTGGTCAGAACAAAAACTTAACCCAGTGTCTTTGCTATGGCGACTTTAGGATTGCTGAGGTTGGGATTAAAATGCGCTAACACCAACGGCAAAGAGTCACACAGCAGGAAGACACTGTACGGGGGCTGGAGATGTGGTTCAGGTTGGTAGAGTACTTGCCTAACATGCAAAAACCCAGGTGTGGTCCTTAGCACTGCATGAAATGGGCACAATAGAGCATGCCTGTGATCCCGGTTCCTGAAGGATGTAGGCAAGAGGATCAGAAGTTCAAGGCCAGCCTGGAATATGTGACACCTTAGTCTCAAAGCAAGCAAGCAAACAAACAAGCAAGCAAGCAAACTAACTACCCCCAGAAGAAAGAAACAAACTGCCTGAAATCCCAGCACTCAGAAGGCTGGACAGGATGTCAATGAGTTCAAAGCTAGCCTAGGCTACAAATAACTCCCCCCTTGAAAAAGTATATATGTAGTCAGTACATTAAGTGGAAAGTTATTAAATATTATGTGGAAATATTGAATGAATGATCCCTGAAATGAAAAACTTAATGTGTTTCAAATTGCATGCCTTTTTGGGTAGCATGATGGAATTTCATGCCATCTGATTCTGTCTCACCTGGGATGGGAGTCATCTCTTTGTCCAGTGTATCATGTGGACACTGCCTGTGTATTCGCTACCTACCAGGTAGTCACCTACATAGCCATCCTGATTGTCAGATGGACTGTTTAGATACTGCAGTTCTTGTATTATTTTAATCTCTACACAGTAGCTATTGCAGTTCTTGGATTATTTTAATCTCTACACAGTAGCACAGCTCTACAGCAGAATGCCCATGTCACTCATCTCACTTGATCTCATCATGCCATCTCACATCATCACAGGAAAGCTGGGTGCAGTACAGTAAGATCTTTTGCAATAGACTGCAGTGACGTAACATTTATTATACTATATCGTTATAAACATTCTACTTTATTATTACTATTATAAATCTCTTACAGTCTCTATTATAAACTAAACTTTATCCTAGGGATATACATACAAGAAAAAAACATAGAGAGAGATCAAGACTATTGAGTCTTAAAATGTATTCCTCTATAGCAGTGGTTCTCAACCCTGTGGGGTCACATATCAGATATTTATATTACAATTCATAACAGTAGCAAAATTACAGTTAGGAAGTAGCAATAAAATAATTTTATGGTTGGGGGTCACAACATGAGGAACTGTATTAAAGGGTCGCAGCATTAAGAAGGGTGAGCACCACTGTATAAATCAAAGACATTGTAACAGACCCAACACAGCCCACAATGTACTAGGTTCTATCCTGCATACCCCAGCGATGCCTGGTTTTTTCCAAATATTGACCTAAATTTAAAATAAAAAACTCAATGTAGGTATTTTTACACTTAGAACAGTTGGTAGATTATGAAATCTCAACTTGAAAGCCGTTACTGTTTTTTGTTTTGGTTGGTTGTTTGTTTGAGACAGGGTCTCACCATGTAATCTGGCTGGCCTTGAACTCACAGAGATCAGCCCCTATGCCCAGCTATAGTTACCATGTTTTTTTTTTTTTTTTTTTTTTTCGAGACAGGGTTTCTCTGTGTAGCTTTGGCGCCTTTCCTGGAACTCACTCTGTAGACCAGGCTGGCCTCAAACTCACGGAGATCCACCTGGCTCCGCCTCCTGAGTGCTGGGATTAAAGGCATGTGCCACCACCGCCTGGCAGTTACCGTTTTTAAAGATAAATGTTTTAACTATGGTAAAGCCTTATGGTTGAACTGTGTACACTGACTTTTGAGGTTTGATTGCGGCTTAAAGAGTAGACAAAATTGAATATTAATGATAAGTTAAAAGCAATTACTTGCTGCCATTTGCTCAGCAAATAATCTAAATATGATTCATCCAACTTTGTTTTGCAACCATGTACATTTATTTACTTAGTAGAAATGACAGGGAAGCACTCGGCTGTTTGGAGATACACACAGCAGTTCCGAGCTCCCGTGAAGGGTAAAGGGGCCATGACAGGATACAGATCGTATTTGGAAGCATCTTCATATATGCTTCATATATATTAGATGGAGTCTTTTCAAATGATCAAGGTGGGGAATATAATTTAAGGGAAATGTTTTTATTTGGATCGGAAGAGCCACACCTCAGGTCACAAAGCAGTGGGCGTGGGAAGAGGCCGGAAGGACCAGAGTACAATCATTGCTTTCACTCTCGTTCTGGAAATGAGCTGTCTGTTTCAGGCATGACCCTGGCATGTGCTGCACGTACCTTCATCGTCGACAATTATAGAAGCAGCTCCTGTGGCAGCATCTCTGGTCTGATATGTAAATTCTACAAGAAAAAGAAATCCACAGTCACGTAATCCAGGCTGGCATGGATAATTTATCTGAACAATTTCAATGTGACACTAATTCTTGGAAACACTTTTTAACCTTTAACCATCTGGAATGAGTTTAAAAAAATAAGTAATTAGTGCTAATTTATACCCATCACCTATACAATGAGGAAACCCGGCATCTTTACAGTTAGTGAAAACTTTCCTTTGCATTAGCAACGACCCATCAAACTACCCACACTTACTGCTCCTTAGAATTATTCACAGTTGTGTACATATGCATTTTTTAGAACAACATATTTCTTTTCTTCACTGTAAAAAAAATGACAGACTTGAGGTAAAAAACAAAAGGTTAAACATCTAAAATGAACTTGTTTGAGTTTTCTTTCTTTTTACAAGCTTTGTATTTCATCACGAACTGTGGTCTGGCATGGACACAAATGTTCATCAGGCAGTCTCTGATAGCAGCAGAGAGCTCTGAACCCGAGCAGAAGACCTGCATTCTAGTCCTGGCTGCAGCCCCGACTGGCTGTGTACTCTGGGAGAAAGCCCAGAGCCTCGCTGGCCTTTGGTTTTTCTTCTGTGATGGCCTTCAGCTATGTCGTTCAGTGACTTCTCGTAACACATCCTTTATTGAATATAGCACCTGTTTTTCCTTGTCACCTGCCTCATGGCCATTGAATGAAGATCTGTAATCTCCTAGGATTTCATTCCCATCTGGAGGAATGTACTTGAGAGAATTAAATGAAGAGGTGCATAAGACCTCTCTGGCATCAGGGGAGGACTTAATAATTATACTTAACTTTTAGTTTTCCCCATAACAGGGTCACAGAAGAAAGTTATAAATAATAAGCCAGGTGTGGTGGCACATGTCTATAATCTTTGCACTCAGGAGGTTGAGGCAGGAGGATTGCCTTGAGTTTGAGGTCAGTATAGGCTACAAAGTGAATACCAGGGCAGGGCATACCAAGGTTATATAGCAAGACCCTTTCTCAAAAAAGTAAAAACAAACCAAAATGAAGTAAAATCCCTAAAGAAAGTTATAAACATGGGACTGGAGAGATAGCTCAGAGATTAAGCAAGTTATTAACTTTAAAGAAGATGAAATTTTACCTGTAGAAATATGATTTTGTTTTAAGTTTTCTATGTAATCATTGCCAAAAGAATCTTTGCCAACCTGTACCAAAGAAATGATGAGCATTAGATCTTTTACATTTAGTAAAATGTTATAATGTAGATTTTATAATAGTTAGCATTTTAAAAGGGCATATCTGCATGGTACTTCATAAGCACTAGCTAATTAATCTTAATGTAAGATGCTCGACTTGATTTCCGCCCAAAGGACATTCTGTTCTGTAACCTGTTTTCCTTACATCTCATCGAACTCATGAAACATGTATGTCTGTGCACCTGTGTGCCTGGTGCCCAGGAGACCAGAAGAAGGCTTCTGATCTCTTGGGATAGGAGTTACAAATGGCTGCCCTGTGGGTGTGGAGACTTGAACTTGGGTCCTCTGAGAGAGCATCCATCTGACAGCTGAGCATCTCTCCGGCCCAGAATCAGTTTATTGAAGGCAAAATTGCACAGGAGTTGCATACACAATTCAGGCAATGCTGTGGTTTGTTTGTTTGTTTGTTTGTTTGTTTTTTGAAATTTGTCCTTCATAATTCTTCGCCTCCAAGACTTGTGGGCATCCACCATTCATTTATATTTCTGGACTTACTTTTACAAAGGTTAAGATCTCGTGCTAATGTGCATGGCAAAAGCCCACAGGGCCTCAATCCTACACAAAGAACCACAGGCAACTGTTGAGAATGGGAGAAGTAGTCTTTCCCAGGGAAGAGCACACCAATTGGTTATCCAATACCAAATGGTCAGCCCTGAAAACATGTCCACACAGGGGACAGTATACAAACTGAGCAGATTGTATTTATGAATTTATGAACCTATACACACACATATGTAACAACAATGAAAAAAAGGCCATAAATTTCAAAGAGACCAAGGAAGGGTTTATGGGAAGGTTTAGAGAGAGGAAAGGGAATATAATTATATTATAATCTCAACAAATTAAAGAAATAGTTAAAATAAGCTTGCCACCTCTGCATGGAGGAGCAAGCTGAGCACTCCCCAGGAGGAAGGAGAGATTCAAGGACTTCCTGGGTTACCTACTGAGACCGACTTGCCCCCTTCCCCCTCCAGTGTTACAAGAAGCATATACTTCCTAATCCTTTCTGTTTGTTTCTGTCTCAAACAGAAGTTATTAGGAATTGTTAAGAAGTCACAGTAGACCCTTAGAAAAGGTTTTTGTTTATTTCTTGTGACTGAGGACTGAATGAATGTACCCTGAAAATCACAGTGAGTAATACAGATGGAATCCTCACACAGGAGCCAGTTAGAAAATACTGATGGGCCTAATAAAGACTATCACAAAGGAATATCAGGAGGCTTCTGTTTCCCACTCACACTTTGGCCATCAAATTGACAAGAAATATTTAAATGTAAGCATCTTGGCCAGGAGGCAAATGGTGCATATGGGAGTCAGAGAACTTGGAGTCTTGCTTCAGTTCTGCCATTATCAAGCTAATTAAAATTCTTTGCATTTTGCCTCAAATTGTTCCATCTGAGCCAGGCTGGAGGGTGGAACTGGTGTGAGTTCTCTCTGGCAGGCAGGAAACCAATGGTTCTCAACAGTGGCTACACATTAACATATCCCAAGAACATTAAACATCATCTTGGATGCTCTGGTCACACTCACAGTTAAACCCCACTCTGCGGGTGGAGCTGTATGGGGAGGTGACTGCATGAAGTGTGTGGTCCAGGCGGAAGACCGCTGAATTTCAGGATGAAAGGCTGGCAGAGTACTGTAAAGCCTGTGTGTGTTGAAGAGATGAAAATGAGAGGGGGAGACGAGCGCACAGTCCCGGGCGTGCTCTGTAGGTAGTGTTGCTACATGACCACATATGCACTGTCCAGTAGCCAAGCAAGAGGCTTAATCGTCCCTTATGTCCTATGTAATCCGTGTGCCGCGTGGTCGCGTATCTGCGTGCAGCGAGATCACACAATCTATGCCCATGCATGGCGGAGCTGTGTGAGCCCATATGCGCATGTGTGTGTGGGATCCATAAAAAGCGGGTCACAGACTCCTCCCCTTTCTTCTTCCTCTCTCTCCCTGCACAATCTCCATACGTCTAAGCACATTGCCCTCTGTCCCTTCTCTTAATAAACTCTTACAGTAGGTTTTGTTGTGCCTCGTGGCTTTTCTCACACAGTAAACGGCGCTGCTTAATGAATAACATTGTGCCACATAAAACTAACAGGTAGATCAGCTGGGTGGAGATGGGGAAGCATGGCCTGCAGAATGTGTTAAGTCACCAGGCTGGACCCAACCTTGGGATGAAGATATAGTCGAGCAGCAGAGATTTCTTTGGTTTGTGTTCGCTGAAGCCTGCTCAAGTAGAAGTCCTGCAGGTCTGCCCCTTTGTCTTTTTATTTCTATCTCCCTAAAATTCACATTTGGCCAAAATAATTAGATTTCATTTTTGGGGTTGTGAGTTGAAAGCCATTACTAACTTGACCTCATCATCTGACTGTGTTAGCACACAATGTGTGTACAATATGCTCCTGTTTATTTCCATGCCTTCACTGAGAACTTAGGAGTTCATTCTTCTCTCCCCCACCTACTCAAACTGTACCTGTTTTTCAAGCACCAACTTAATCTACCTTCCTTCTTTGGGCTCTCATCAATCCTCTCATTTCCAGAACTCCTACACAGCATTCCTGATCACTGTCATAATTCAATGCCATCTTACACTGTTTGCAACTCCATATTTGTCCACAGGGGCTCCCCGAAACTTGGGAGATGCTAGCTCAAAATATAGTGGCCCTTCCCAAAGTCCTGCACATGGAAGGTGTCCCATCAGTGTCCTATCATCTCAGTTACCCTACAGTTAGTTCATTTTCTTGGACCTATCTTATTCCTGAAGGGATGTGACCGTGGGCACAGGAGTATTCTGTTGTGGCTGCAGACAAGGCTTTGTACTGACAAGGCTTTGCCTCTCACAGGTCTCCTGTCTTGAAGGCACTATTCTTGCAATTGCACATATTCGGAAGAAGTCTCTGTGTAGCCTGTTCCAGCTGAAAGGAGGCAGTCAAGGGCAGCTTCGACAAATTTAAGCCAGGACAATTCACAGACCTCATGATCTTGCATAGAAAGGGTCTTCTGGTTATGAAGGTGTTCTCATACACTGCTGTTCAAGCTCTCTTACATGAGGCCCCCTGCTTACTGTTTTCCTTGTTTACACACAGTGTGGATCAACAATTTGTAAAACACAAAAACAACGCAATAAGGGCAAAAAGGTATCGTAAGATACAAAGCCTCACTTATTATTGCTGTTAAATCCAGTGGCTGTTAAAAAAAATCTAGCTTACGTTGCTATAAATCATTCTGTTTACTTCTGGTTTCTGTACTGTCTAGACTAGGGGCAGACTGAGCACAGCACTGGCCTGAGGAGCAGGCTTTTGAGTCGCACTGTCCTAACCTAATGTGCGTGCCCTTTGTCACTGGACTTCCGGCCTGACCTTCCTGAAGGGAACCAGGTGCTGCCCGCATTAGAAGGGAGACAGTTTTACATTTGTAGGAAGCAAAACCATACTAATTCTTCAGATCACCCTAGTGTGCTGGTTCCTGGCTTGGTCACTGGCATCCATGTCTGCTCCTGGTTTCTTTACCTGCATAGCAGGCGGCTGTGGGCTCACACTGGGCCCCTTCATCCTGAACTCTGTAATTAACATGGTTCTTGTTGTCCATGTGTGATGTTTCTTCTTCCTCTTCCTTTGTGTGCATATATGTGTTTGGATGTGTGTGAGGGTACAAACATGTATGCGTGTTCATGCTTGTGTGTGTGTGTGTGTGTGTGTGTGAAGGACAGACGTCAACTTTAGGTGTCTTCCCTTTGGGACACTATCCATGTCGTTTGAGATAGTGTCTTTTACTGGCCTGGAACTTTCCAGTTTGGCTGGGCTGGCTGGCTAGTGAGCCCCACGGCTCCTTCTGTCTTGGCCTTGGCCTCTCCAGTGCTGGGACTGTACATGAAAATGCCTGTTGTTTTTTGTTTTTAATAAACACGGGCTCTATGTATTGAGATCAGATCCTCATGCTTGTCATATTGTACCACGTCTCATCTCCTGCTGTTTTTTGAGTCAGGGTCTCAGTACGCAGGCTAGGGCAGGCTGGTTCTTCTGCATTAGCCTCCAGAGTGCTGGGACTATAGGCATTCGCCAGTGTTTGATGCTTAGAAAGAACTTCTTACCTTTAAACACTTGACTTCAATGGAATAGAAGTAGAGGAAACATTTACACAAACCAGGCTAAGTCTATGAGAGAGCTCCCAGCAGGCTCTTTGCCTTGGGATTTTCATTTTCAAAAACACCATCTCCAGTTATCACTGGACTTTAGCATTAAGCACATGACTCAGCTGAATACCAAATCCATGATTCTTAACTGCTTAGAGCACCTCATTATCTGCTTGTCACTCTATAAATACTGATGTAACTCTTGCTTAATGTCTTTGTCACAATTATCTTAACAAATAATTCCCCTTCCTGGTTTTCCCTGTGCCACCAACCTTCCCAGCAGAGCCTGGCATCTAGTATGTTGTAGCGCAGTAGTACATAAATTAACGTTGCTTAGAGAATGGCAGGGGATTCTCTACCAGTTTTTCTTTTGCTCCATCTGTTCATTTTTATCTTGATTAATGTAATGATTTGGGTTTTGATTTGGAACTTGTCATCTTTCAAAAACTGCTAGAAAACAAGTGTGCTAATTTGCCTAACAAAAATATACTGCAAGCTGCATGTGCGGGTGCACACCTGTAACCCCAGGTTTAGAGAGGCAAAGGCAGGAAGAATTAAGGGCTTTCTATATCATACAACAAGTTCAAGGCCAGCTTGGGCTATGTGAAACTCTGTTTCACACAGCCAAAAAGGAAAAACGACGCAACACAATACTTCACAATGGAAAACTATAATGGATAATGGATAGCTTTCCCTATAAAAGTCTATTCATACCAGTACTTGGGAGGCAGAAGCAGATGGATCTCTGAGAGTTCGAGTCCAGCCTGGTCTACAGAGTGAGTTCCAGGACAGCCAGGGCTACACAGAGAAACCCTGTCTTAAAAGACCACCCCCCCACAAAAAAAAAAACAAAAAAAGAATTCTAAGAGGTACATACCTATGATCCCAGTAGTCAGGGGACTGAGGCAGGAGGATTATGATTTGGAGGCTAATATGGGCTACACAGAGAAACCCTTTATTAATTAATTAATAAAAAAGGCTTCATGCTGGGGTGAAGTTCAGAGGCAGAAGGCATTCTTTGTGTTTGTAAGACACATTCCTCCCCAACATCAAAAAATAAAGCTAAGTGAGTAAATAAATAAATAAAACAAGAAGACTAAGAATATTGCAATTTTCTTAAAACATACTTTCTTTCTTTTTTTTAATTTTACTTTTATATGCACTGGTGTTTGACCTGCATGTCTTTGTGAGGAGGTTGGATGCTCTGGGACTGGACTTACAGTTATGAGCTATGTAGATGCTGGGAATTGAACTTGGGTCCTCTTGAAGAGCAGCCAATGCTCTTAACCACTAAGCCATCTCTCCAGCCCCCTTAATTTAAGCCTTTAAATAAATCCCTGCCTTAGGGTCCCAAGGCACAAAAGTAAAATTACCCTGGATGGGATCTGCTTAAAACCCATTTTCTTATGTTTCACTGTGCAAACACCTAGACTGAATTGTGTGGAGCAGACATGGATGACTAAAAAGAGCACAGAAGATGATCCAGAAGCGCTCAGGTGCTGGCACGAGCCGCTGCACACAGAGCAGAGTGAGAAAGCCAGCCTTTCTGCCTCAACCACCCCCCAACTGCAGCACAGCTCCCCGCCTGCTCCTCTTGCTTCTCGCACCGTTTCATGGTTCACGTCCCAAGTTCAGTCCTACAACTCAAAGATTTCTATTTTATTTTTCTATCCTTACCTCCAATTCTACAGACCTAAATAAAAGCAATCTCAAGATCTTAGAGTGGGATGAGGTCAGGACACATGCAGTCTAGACTTCGGTGGCCACATGAATAGTATCCAGAAAGCTTCCAAGAGGGGAGGTGCTCCATGTCTTACACTCCCAGGCCCAGAAAACACCCCTTATCCCAGGATGGCCACTTTGGATGCCTAGCTTCCCATACCAATTCTATGTCCAGCTTTTTCCAGCCTGGAAATCATATGTCCTTCCCAGTTCCTGAGCCCCCTTTTGGGAGCATCACTGGGTCATTACCTAGGTCTCCTCTCTAATCAAGCATGGGATAAGTCAGGTGTGAAGATTTCGTCAGCCTTCTTTCACAGTGCCATCATTTCTAGAATATAATTATTTCCTGATTATCTATATTACTGTTTTAAATCCTTAGGGACCAATCTTAACAATAGAAGGGTTCTTATTTGGAATTTTGTGTTTCCTGTGATGTTTCTGACCAAATAGCCATGAGAATGATATGCTGGTCATAAATCAGAAATGAAGCCAGAGTTCATTAGCAGATGAAGTGATAATTGTATAGCTTACACATCACTTAAATCTCCCATGGAGAGGAGAGTGACATGTGAAAGTGGAAATGACATTTCTGCAGGGTTTTTTTTTTTTTTTAAATCTACATAGTTCACAAGATAGCTTTTCTAAGGTTTTGTGTGTGTGTGTGTGTATGTGTGTGTGTGCGCGCGCTTTTCTTATCATTAAAACCCAGCTTTCCCTGTACTTAAACTCACATAATTTCATCTTCTTCTAATAGCAATGTTACCACCTTCAAATGACATGAAAGATCTAAAATTTAAAACTCTTGACAGCCAAATACAATTCTTTTCAAATTATTTCAGTAGGATTCCTGACTGTTACATACCCTTTCTCTGTATGACTGAAAACAGAAGTATGTAAGGTATTTATTACGCGCGGTCATTAAAACCCACATTCCACTGCCATTATGATATGGCGGTGGACGATGGCTTAGTGAGGAGGGACTGACTATGTTTCCAAGAGCTGCGTTGCTACAGCGATGCCTGTTGACTACAGAATGACTCAGGCCGTTTAGAAGGTGGACTGTCGACACCCAGGGCACAGGTTAATTCCTCTCACGTTGCACGCTCTGGTTATAAGCTCACTGTATTCAGGGGAGGCAGCACCAAGTCATTTGAGGACTGCCGCTTCCCAGAGGAAAGCATCAGAAAGTGCAGTCACTCTTATTTAGATTTTTTTATGACCAAACTTTCAAAAGAATTAAAAACCGGTACTCCAACAAGCGCATGTGTGTGCAAGCATGGCCATGGGCTAGCCTGAGACAGTCAGAAAAAGGAAACAGTCCAGGAGTCTATCAGTGCACTCACGGGTGGATAAGTAAGTGATGGTCTGTCCATACAATGGGGTACTAGTTGGCCATTATACAGGATGTAATACTGATACTTGCTACGAAATGGAGAAACCTCAAAACAACAAAAGAAGCCAGAAGCAAAAGTCATATATTACACAGCCCATTTATGTAAAGTATCCAAAATAGATAGGTTCATAGAGATAGAATGTAGTTTGTTGGTTCCAGGGTTCCAGGTGGAGGAGGAAATGGGTAGAAACCATTTGGACAGGAGGTTTTCCTTTGGAATGATGATTTCCTGTAACTGGCTAGTACTGGTAGTTGCAAAACACTAGAGATTACTATGTATTACTGAACTTCAGTATTTCTTTAGACAGGGCCTCCCTATGTAATTACCCTTCAGCTTCATGAGCAGCTGGTACCATGGGCCCGCACCGCTATCCCCAGTGAAGAGTTCATTGTGGATAATGGTGAAGGATAACAGAAACGATGAGCTTGAACCAGCCCTTCCCGGGGCCCCTCCCCTACGTTTCACACTTACCTTGCAGACTATGGACGTCTTTGCTCCAAGCCGAGCAGCTTGGACACACTGGTTGGCACCTTTTCCTCCAAAGCCAATGAAAAACTTATGTCCGTGGATGGTTTCTCCAGTTTTTGGCAAGCGAGGAGTAAGACTGTTATAATTTAAAGAGAGGAAAACAAAGCATGTTGGTAACTGGAATCAGTGTACATGCTTTAGAAGCCCGGAAAGGTTATCCAACGAGCTTCTGATGACTCTTAAGCAAACTGAACTGCCAGGAAGACGGAAGGTCTTTCCTCTCAGTTTGCATCGTAACAGACAGAGCCCATCTCTTGGAGAGAATTCCTCTCTTCTCCATAGCCACCAATGTGGCCACACTGCAAATGGCAGCTGGTGTCTGTACTGCATTGAGATTATTCCTGGGATAGTTCCCTGGCCCACCCCTGGCGCCCAACGTGTTGGCAAGAGTTTCCACCTAAAACCTGAGAAAAGATTCTAAAACGGAGCTAAAAACAGCTTCCTAATTGTCTCTCTCAAATGAGCGGCAGCTGCCTGTTTGAGCTACTGGTGGGTTCCTAGCATGCGCGCTTGACCTGCAGTATGGCGGGAATGAGGCCTCTGCAACTGGCACGTTAAGCTGCATGGTAGATTTAGCCTTTGCTGGTACAAAACAAAAAAAGAGGTTTCTGGGCTACATGCTGCTTGGATAAAAGCATAGACCCACGATAGCTCCCAGAGCTGGTGGTAAACGAACCACCGCCATGTTAGGAAGCTGAGGTGGGCGGAGCCAGCAGCCATAGCACCTTTTCAATCTTACAAATGCTGCAGTTTAAAGCAAGAAATTCACAATAAGACAGATTCAGATGTAATAGTTTGTAATGTGTGTAAAATATACATAGGCTTAAAAGAGACAAAAAAGGTGATATATACAGTTATAGAAACAAATACATAGTTTTAAAAAATAAAGTCTTTAAAGAGACAGTAAAATTAATATTAAAAAATAAGCCACGTAAAGATGAATATTACACAGAGAATCTGGATTGTGTTGTCTTTGGGATTTTTAACTGCAGAAAAACATTTGATTGTAAAAGATGTTGAGTTAAACCAATATGTATATTTTAAAGATACCTTGACTTCAAAATTTGGATATAAGGATGTGTTGCTTTGGAAAAGAGTCTCTGCTTTTGTTCCCACAGAAAGCCAGAGGCTATGGATTTGTTCCAGATTAAGATACATCAGGTTTGACCAGCCAAGACCCCCTGAAAGGTCTCTGATGACACCATGGCCCAGATGATCCAACATCCAGAATGGTTTGAAGGCAACTGGCTCAGATGATACAGCCTCACGGACTACTCCATGATCCTAAAATTTTCTTTGTGTCCCCATAAGATACAGCGCCCCCCTCCAGCAGGAAGTAGTAAGAGAAGCTACGCCCAAATTCCCAAATTATATGTAATTTTACTTTGTTAAGGTTAAAACCTTCCTTTTTGAAAAAAAAAGGGGGGGGGGAAGTGCTGTGGGATGTTCTGTGTGGCAAATGTGTTGTTGATTGGTCAATAAATAAAACACTGATTGGCCATTGGCTAGGCAGGAAGTGTAGGCAGGACAAGGAGGAGAATAAAGCTGGGAAGTGGAAGGCTGAGTCAGAGAGACACTGCCAGCCGCCACGATGACAAACAGCATGTGAAGATGCCGGTAAGTCACGAGCCATGTGGCAAGGTATAGATTTATAGAAATGGATTAATTTAAGCTGTAAGAACAGTTAGCAAGAAGCCTGCCACGGCCATACAGTTTGTAACCAATATAAGTCTCTGTGTTTACTTGGTCGGGTCTGAGCAGCTGTGGGACTGGCAGGTGAGAGAGATTTGTCCTGACTGTGGGCCAGGCAGGAAAACTCTAGCTACACACCCCAGAGCGTTATTCACAGTGGGACTCAGCAGGCGGGGTGGGGGGGGGCAGGAAAGTGTATGGGCTTCTCAGGCACTTTAAGCAGGAGGTCCATCTTGATTCTAGTGAGTGCTCAAGTCTAGGACCTAAGAGGAAGAGGGAAGCAGCAACTCCCTCTCCCTAAACAATCTGATTTTTATACTTGAGGGTGGGGTGGGAGCAGACTTGGATTGTCTGTCCTGCATACCATGCCATTTCATGCATGATGTCAAAAAGAACACATACTTAAAACAATGTAGCCTGAAGGACCAAGTTTAGGCTTTAACTTTTATTATGGTACATATCAATGATATAATAGTAGATCCCCCCCCTTATCCTATTCACTCATCACTCAGATTCAATTATCATCAGCTCCTAGCTGATCCCCATAACCCAGAAGCTAAACATGATCTTCATCATAACCTAGAAGCTAAACATGATCTTCACCATAACCAAGAAACTAAGCACCATATTCATCATAATCAAGAAGCTAAGCCCAGTCTTCACCATAACCACGGAGCCAAACTCATTATTCACCATAACCAAGAAGCGACGCCCAGTATTCACCATAGCTAAGAAGCTAAGCATGGTCTTCATTCACCATAATGGTGTGGCCAGTGGTGACAGTATTATCCGAGGCAAACATTACATATTTGTTCCAGGTAAATATTTTCATGACTTTAAAGGCAAGATCTGAGGAAACAACATTTCTGAAGGATGGAGAGAAATGACTGATTTCCAAACGGGAGGAGTTTCAAACATAGGGACAAACAAAATGAGATCTGGCTGCCTGGCCACAAAGAAGGGGCCAAGGATGGCGGATGGGACCAAAGAAGTGAATCCACTTTCTATGGGAAGGAAAGGCCGGGTAAGCTCACACTGGAAAGTCAGCTGGAAATCTATGCTGGTTTAGGAGATCACAGGTTTGCATTCGTTAATAGGCTGTGATATGTCTGAAATGAGCGCCGTATTATATAGAGTGACAGAACAATGCCACTTCCTCCAGGCCACTAACAGCTTGTTTGCAGTGGGATGACAAGAACTAATGCCAGAATGCACAATTGTTTCAATACAGACCAAGATCAACCCGTGAGCCCCTCTACGTGCTTCTAAAACCATCAATAAATCGTCGAGACTATTCCATTTCCCAGCACCGAACTGTCAAATATGGTTGAGATACAAGAGACTCACCAATAATTTGAAAACATCCCACTCCTCCTCTTTTCAATGCTATTTTTATCTAGGCTCCTACATGCATTTATAGTACTGATGAAAAAAATATACATCTAAAAGGTTCACTTCTGCAAAAGGTACTCAATCAAGAGAAAAATGGTTTTAATGTAATGTTATTATCCTGTCAGTTAATTTAGCGGTGACAGCAATGATGAGATTTTGATTTGCATCAGAAATCTGAAACATTTTAGGATTCTGTTATGAGCAGCAGCGGTGAGTAATCCATGTGACGGAGTAATGATGTGAATTCTTGGCTTGTTGACTCTCCTACAAACGACTCTTGTAAAACCTTAAAAAGAAGAATATCTAACCTGGTTAAAAACAGGTATAATAACTTCATTAGCAAGACTATGGCTTCGAGAAACGTAGGACTTCCGCTCTATTTACACTTAGATCTGGGTCAGGGGTCACTGCTTTGAATCAAGTGTCCCCTTTGCTATCAGCTGTGGGCAATCATTAGACCTATACTGCCAGGTTACTATGGGATATGTATGTATGGGGGGCATGCATGTGCACTTGATGTGGGAGCAGATGGCTCGATTTAGAATCATTTCTTTAAAAAAACATGAACCTTTGTTTTCATGTGCATCCCTGTTTTGCTTGTATGTATGTCTGTGCACCATGTACATGCAGTGCCTGTGAAGGCCAGAAGAGGCAGCAGATCCCCTGGGACTGGAGTTCAGACAGTCGTGAGCTGTCATGAGGGTGCTGGGAATTGAACCCTGGCCCTCTGGAAGAGCAACCAGTACTCTTAACCGCTGAAACATCTCTCCAGCCCCCTTGGAGTCATCTCTAAACAAACAATATTAACACAAGGCAGTAGATATTAGCAAGTGTGGAATTAATTCATCAGTCATTGAAACGCCATGTCTTGCGTGTTTTCCTGGTTTCTTTTTTCTTCCTTCTCCATCTTGCCAATCCCCTTGGTGCCTGTGTTCTCCACCTGTTAGTGGTCCCTGCACAGGGACGGAGAACAGCTCCGCTGTGTTCTCCACTGAACCCCAAGTGCCTGCCACTTAACAGAGGGGTAAGAGATGCTCACTTTGTCTCTTAGCATCCACTTTGCTTCTGAATTGGGAAGGTGAAGGTGCTAATTATGGGATGGAAGAGGAAACTAGCAGCCATGGCTACACAACCATCTAACAACAATTCCATGTTCTGCCATCTCCTGCCCACTACACTCCAAATTTTAGGGGGATTCTTTTCTTTCTCTTTCCCCACTCCCCCCCACCCCCTTTAAGACAGTCTCCCTTAGCCCAGGCGGGCTTTGAACTCACTCTGTGGCTGAGGCTGGCCTTGAACCCCTTCCTGGGCTTCCTGCCTCTATCTCCCAAGTGCTGGAGTCACAGGCATGTGCCTCCATGCCTGGCTTGGAACTTTTCTTCCTTTTTCTCCTCTCCTCTCCTTTTTGAAAAGATTTACTTTCACTTTTAAAATTGACGTGTGTACATTCTGGTGCCCTCAGAGGCCAGAAGAGGCTGTCAGATCCCCCAGAGCTGGAGTTACAGGTGGTTGTGAATGCCAGATATGGGTGTCGGGACAGACTCTGGCCCTCTGAAAGGGCCATCTCTTCGGCCTCCATAAGTCCTCTTCTCTAAGCAAGAATTGTAACAATAGAACACACAATGCTTACTCATTCACGCAACAATTCACTAAGTGTTGATTTAGTGTTTCCTGATGTTCTTTCTATAGGGCAGTATCATCTTGCGGACGAGGGGATAAAGTCAAACCTGAAACAAGCGATAAATGAGTAACACTCACGTTACAGATCAAGGACCATATGATCCGATTTCTATCTTTTACAAAAGCTGGAGATGTAGCTCAGTGGGAGAGCACTTTTCTAGCATGTGTGAGGCCCTGGGTTCAATCCCTCGAACTTAAAGAGAAAAAGATATGTATGCAGGTATGCATTGCTTAATGGCAAGTATACATTCTGGGAAATGAGTAGTTTTGCTGTTTGTCAGATACCAGCGTATACTAATCAAGATGGCTGTG